CCCTTTGGGCGGGTGTTGTGCTGGCTCTGGCAGCCCAGCATGGCCCCCGGCTGCAGGACAACCCCGCTGCCGCCGCCGTCCTGCCGGGGCCGGAGTTGGGGGGATGTCCTTGGCCTTCCCTGTGGGCCGAAGGCAAATCCCCTCCCTGTCCTTCTTGCTTCCTGCCCCAGGCCCCGAGCTGAGGACGGAGAGCCCGGAGGACAAATCCCCCCATGAGAACCTGGTGGGAGAGGCCGTTTTGAAGGGCTCCACGGCACAGGAAGGCAGCGGGGAGGAAAAGGTCCGGAGATCCCTGCGGAGGAGGGGCTCCAAAGCCAGCCCAGGGTGCTCTGAGGAGGAAAGACCCAGCCTGTGCCGGGAAGGCGGCCGGAGCTTGAGGCAGAGCTCTGACCTGGTGGTCCCTGAGCAGCCTCCCAGCAGGCAGAAGCCCTTTAAGTGCTTGGAATGTGGGAAGAGCTTCAGCCAGAGCACTGACCTCCTCACCCACCAGCACATCCACACTGGGGAACGACCCTACAGATGTCGGGAATGTGGGAAGAGCTTCAGGAGCATCTCCCACCTGATCCGACACCGTCGCATCCACACTGGGGAACGGCCCTATTTATGTGGGGAATGTGGGAAGAACTTCAGCCGGAGATGCCACCTGATCCGACACCAGCGCATCCACACCAGGGAACAGCCCAGGAAAGGGGTGGGAGATCAGGGCTAAAGGAGGGGGGAGAGAGGGAGCGGGATTGCCGTGGAGGTGCCTTGGTGTCCCCATGCCTTGATCCCTGGAGAGCAGGGGAAACTGGAGAGACGGGGTTGCTGCGAGAGTCCCAAGATCCTGGAGAGGGGGGAGTTCGGGTCCCCTGTGCTGAGCCAGCGGTCAGGGCTCTGCTGTTGGTGCCAAATTGCTCCTGGTCAGGCTGAACCCAGAGCCCGCCCACATGTCAGGGGCCCGATCCGCTCCCTGCTCTCGTTGCCCTGGGGCAGCCTCTGGTGTCCCCCAGCCTGTGGGGCTGTTTGGTTGCCTTGGGCACAGCCGGCCCTTGTGCAGGGCTGTGCCCTTGGGGGCTGTTGGGGGTGGGCAGGAGGTGTTTTCTGGGGTTGCCGGGCTGGGTTGGGGGCAGAGCCCCGGCGGTGGGTGGGGGGATGCGGGTCCCCCCCATGGTGGGGGTTGGTGTTGCTGGGTCAGGCCCTGCCGGCTCCATTGTCAGCCCGGTGCCGGTGGGGGGGACACAGCGGTGTTGGGGCCCCCCGGGAGTGCCGGGAATGGGTGTGGAGCCCGGGAGCTGCCGGGTGTGGAGGGCGGAGTGGGACGATGCCGGAGCTGGGGGACCCCCGGCAGCCTGGAGGGGGGAGCACAGAGAGGGAGGAGCCCCGGGACCTGCGGGAGCCTGAAACGGGGGGCATGGAGAAGGGGAAGCCTGGACAGTGGGGACCCCTGGGATCCTCAGGACAACAAAGTGAAGAATGTGGAGAGGGAGAATGTCTGGGAACGCGGCACCCCGAAGGCAAAAGTCAGAGGAGAAGGGACCCTTGGGACCCCCAACACTCCCAGCATCCCTAAGTGGGACCCCCAAGATTCCTGACAGGGGAGACCCTGCGAACCTAAGAAGGGAGAGACCAGAGAGGGGGAACTTCTGGGAGAGTTTTTTTGGGCTGAATGTTCATAGTTTGGAGTATTTTTTGGCTGAATCTCAACTTCTGCCATTTGTGGGGCAGGTTTATCTCACTCTTTCTGGGTCATTGTTGGCAGAATCCTGGTATTTTGAAGGTTTTTATGGACACAGGATGCCCAGTGAGTTCTAGAGATGGACTTGGGCAGGAGGAACCCCCAAGCCAAGGCACTCAGCCCTTGTTTTCTCCCCATCAGGATTTGTCCTTCCCAAAGCTTGGGCGGATGGAGGAGGAGGCTGCGAGGAAGAGGAAGATGCCTTGGGCCTCCCAGGCAGGTGAGGAGGAAGTCAGTGGCCCTTTGGGCGGGTGTTGTGCTGGCTCTGGCAGCCCAGCATGGCCCCCGGCTGCAGGACAACCCCGCTGCTGCCGCCGTCCTGCCGGGGCTGGAGTTGGGGGGATGTCCTTGGCCTTCCCTGTGGTCCGGAGGCAAATCCCCTGTGTGTCCTTCTTGCTTCCTGCCCCAGGCCCCGAGCTGAGGACGGAGAGCCCGGAGGACAAATCCCCCCGGCAGAAGCTGGTGGGAGAGGCCGTTTTGAAGGGCTCCATGGCGCAGGAAGGCAGCGGGGAGGAAAAGGTCCGGAGATCCCTGCGGAGGAGGGGCTCCAAAGCCAGCCCAGGGTGCTCTGAGGAGGAAAGACCCAGCCTGTGCCGGGAAGGCGGCCGGAGCTTGAGGCAGAGCTCTGACCTGGTGGTCCCTGAGCAGCCTCCCAGCAGGGAGAAGCCCTTTAAGTGCTTGGAATGTGGAAAGAGCTTTGGGAAGAGCTTCAACCTCCTCACCCACCAGCAGATCCACACTGGGGAACGAGCCTACCCATGTGGGGAATGTGGGAAGGGCTTCAGCCAGAGGTCCCACCTGATGCGACACCGGATGATCCACACTGGGGAACGGCCCTATTTATGTGGGGAATGTGGGAAGAGCTTCAGGGACAGCTCTGACCTGATCAAACACCAGCACATCCACACCAAGGAACGACCCTACACATGTAGGAAATGTGGGAAGAGCTTCAGGCACAGCTCCACCCTCTGCACTCACCAGCGTATCCACACTGGGGAACGGCCCTACACGTGTGGGGATTGTGGGAAGAGCTTCATTGACAGCTCCACTCTCTGCACCCACCAGCGCATCCACACTGGGGAACGGCCCTACACATGTAGGGAATGTGGGAAGAGCTTCAGTGACAGGTCCACCCTCTGCACCCACCAGCGCATCCACACTGGTGAACGGCCCTACAAGTGTGGGGATTGTGGGAAGAGCTTCAGCTGGAGCTCCAACCTCATCACCCACCAGCGCATCCACACCGGGGAACAGCCCTACAAGTGTGAGGAATGTGGGAAGGGCTTCAGCCAGCGCTCCAGCCTCCACACCCACCAGCGCGTCCATACCGGGGAACGGCCCTTCAAGTGCTTGGAATGTGGGAAGAGGTTTCAGACCAGATCCAGTCTCCTCCTGCACCAGCGGACGCACACGGATGAGAGGCCCTTCCGCTGCACCGACTGCGGGAAGGGCTTCAAGCAGAACTCCCACCTCATCACCCACCGGCGCATCCACACCGGGGAGAGGCCCTTCAAGTGTGGGGAGTGTGGGAAGAGCTTCACCGACAGCTCTAAGTTGACCAGACACCAACGGACCCACCAGTAAGGGAAGCCCTACCAGTGCCTCAACTGGAGGAAGAGCTTTGGCTGCTCCTTGCACCCCGAATGAACCCCCTGATGGTGAGGCAACCCCTGGAGTCCAGTGACTGTCAGTCCATCCCTTTTGACCAGAAAAGGCCAGTCCCCTTTCTCAGGGGCAGGTTCTGCCAACAGAACCCTTCTTGAGGGGATGTGTGGAGATTCCTGCCTTGGCTGGGGACCCTCAAGGGCACTGCTGGAGGTTGAGAGCAGAGATCTCCCCACGAGTGTTGGTCTGGGGGAGTTCCATCCATTTCTACTTAAGAATTATTCCTTTTGTGCCAGCTTGAGTAGAACTGCTTCAACAATTGCTTTAGTGTAGAGCACTTTGCTATCTTATCCTGTACTCCTGGTAGTTTTAGTGTTTGTATTGTGCAGTAAATAATTCTGATGAAGATCTTTTGTTTGATTGTTTGTAACCCTAAATCATTTCTATCAATAGATCTGATTTGCCATCATTAAAACCTTGGGGCCAAAGTGTTTCAGTCACACCTCTAATTCCTCCAAACTGAAAGTGTTGGCATAATGCAAGGCTGAGATTGGATCCAGCATCCCCCACCACCCCACAGTAAGTTTGGAGCTCAGTGTGTAAGTTTTGTTGCTGGCTCTCCACAAAATTGCTGAGACCCAGCGAAAAAGCCTAGTCCCCCGAGAGGGAAGGAAAAAAAACCCGAACGGCCAAAGCTAGAGCAAAAATATATATTTACAATTCTATATACAATTTGAATGTATTGTACACACGAATGGGAGCTCCCGAGG